TCAATGCTAGTGCAAAGTCATTTTAAAATACTAACAGCAATGCTATGTATTATTATTTTTTTTTAAAGTTCTTTTAGTATTATAGTATTAGATTTTCAAGCAAGAGACAGTGAATTTCATGTTTCGTGAGAATCACCCATATATATATATACACATATGAAATAAAATGCACCTTACTGAAATAAAATGCACACGTCTGATATAAAATGCACCTTTTTTACAGTTATCTCGTGAGGAGACTTTTAGAAACTTTACAACACGCCATTAATTCTAGAAATTCTTTTGAATTTGCTACCACTCTTTAAAAACTTTTATGCATTAAAATTTTACCCGACGTTATACGTTATTTGGACTGTCTGGAAAACAAATATATGTCTACTGTGGGATGAAAGAGAAATTTCAAATCTTTTGCTATTGTGTAAGAAAAGGAGAGATATAACTCATCAAAAACCAGTTTATTTGTCTAGTGAAACTGCAACACTTTCGATCTTAGTTTTGAACTGCTTTTATGCTTCAATTTCCTAAAAACCGGTTTTAGAAGATCTTAACACTTCTTTTCTCTTATATGGTTTCAATAATTATTGGTCAAAGTTTGAAAATATTTGTGTTCTCTCCCTCTTAATCTTTATTCAGTTATTAATCTTAATTACCTCTATTATATATTAATCCTGATTCAGGTTTTTTCTATACTGCATTATTTACAAGGTTTCTAAAAAGCAAACGCGTGCGTTACTTGTGGGATGCCAGATGGAAGTGCTAAAAAAAGTGCTAAATTTTTCTAATAATATAGAATTGAAGACAATAAATTATTTTAACATGAAAATTTTTATTCACAGGAGCAAAAAGAATAGAAATTATGTCAAAACCAGGGATAATCAAGTCACATTTGCCATTTCATCTGATACCTTGGTCGAAAGATGCCAAATACATCTACGTCGCCAGGAATCCGAAAGACTGTTGCGTGTCATTCTTCCATTACTCCAAGCATATACCAGGAAATAACTTCGAAGGGACTTTTGACCAGTTTTTTGAACATTTCATGACAGGATTACCGGAGACCGTCTATTTCGGAGATTATTTTGACCACGTGCTGTCCTGGTACTCTCACAGGTTTGTATTAAGTGTTCACTTGTTATCCTGCTAGTTATTAAGTTTCCACTGATTAGAAAATATTATTTTTATTATTCCAGCAAATCTGAACATTCTTTAGTCAAAAACATTATTATTTGACCATTGTTGTGGAGTTAAAAAGAAAGCCGTAATACTATATCAGTACTCGAACTCACGACCAGTAGACTACTATATTTATAGCTTGTACGAAGCTTGTTCTACTATGTGTGGTCCCACAGTGCACTGATCGCAAAGACACCGTACCCAGTTGAACACCGAAGTCAAGCATCACTGGCTGCAGTGAGTATGCGGATGTGTGACCATTTTAATCAGCCTGCGTAGTGACCCAGGGTGCGCGGTATCGGTCCTCGTTAAACTGTTCTTTCGTAAAGTGATCGACTTCGCACGCAGAACATCGAGCTACTGAAACAGAGGAATCATCATCAAAATTGCGATGGCGCGTCTTCGTATCATCCTCAGGGATGTTTCCCAGACTGTGGTCATTAGCCCATTGTGCAGCTCTAGTGCGACGCAAATGAAGTACCTACCTACCTATATACTTTTGCTACACGAAACTTTTTTTATAGTAATCTGCAACATTTCCCAGTGGTCACGATAAATTTTAAAATAATCTGCTATATTTCCATGTGCTACGTCACACTTTTCATAATAATCTGCACATCTCCACGTACTACGTGACACTTAACTCTCATTACAATAAAGATGTAGAAACGTCCCTACCACTAAAGAGAACAAGTTTGTAAGAGAAAACATTTTCTTGGGAATAAGAATTATGTTTCACAATTACTACTTTGAAAATGATTTAATCTTGTAATAAACTATATCTATTAAATTCCAGAAAATTGATTTTAAAGTATTGAGTTCATTTACAAATAAGTAACCACAGCTAGATAAAAATATTGTCTTTTTACCTAACTGTGCGTACATAAAGCACAACTCGCAGAAAAACTAATGGGGTTTTTTTCCGCGAAAAATAGTGATAACATATTCTATGTTTTTTTTTTTTTTGTTTTTGTTTTTTCTTTTCTTTTAAACCTTCCTAGTACGTATGGTGGGTGAAGTTTTCATCGTTCATAACTTGAACCGGATTCGATTCCCCACAGTAAAGCTAAGCTTAAAGCAAAATTAACTGTTATGTTTCAAGTAGTAACCATATTCTTAACTAGATGGTTGTAAAACCATCCTGTTTCCAATCCGTATATTAACAATGATGAAGTGGTATAAAGTGCTTTTCATGATAGATTCCGAGAAAAGTTGCTTGACAATATTTTTCTTTCTCTTACTAATGCTATGAACGCTAATATACACTTTCAGAAAACTGATAAACAAAGTTTGTTTTTGAAAAATTTTTTTTGCAAGATATAGTTTATCATACAGTAGGGATCCCACAGGCAACTAAAACTATAAAAAGTGGTAGAAAAACCCTATTAATTTTTATTTATTTTTAATCTCTTTAATAATTCAATAATTACTATGACTTGCATTTCAAATTATTAAGTGTCGCCCGGGCCAGTCCTGTATAGAGATGCAAAATATATATAAATCTCAAGTTTGAATTTTTTGTCGCTTGCGTTGATTTTTCTTTTACACGTCAGTATAATAAGTATTCGTAAAACATACATAAACCAGATAATGTTCTGTTATCTAGTTTATAATTCATATAACAGCAACAAACTATTTGAAAACTTGTGAAAATTTATTTAAAATTATTAAATTTAAACACAGTATCAAACTAGATAATACAGTATCACAGTATTATCTGATTTATACTTCACATAACGGTAACAAACTATTTGAAAACTTGTGAAAATTTATTTAAAATTATTAAATTTAAACACAGTATCAAACACAAATAATTCAATTTCGATTACGATAACGAACATTGGAATTGAAAACATGTTGTCTTCAAAAACTTCAATCTATAGACCAACTGTAACAAGCTAAGTCCAGCCTTGTCCATAAAGTTTGCCTGACTGGTCAGAATGCATTTTCTGTGGTTGTGTTTTAGTAGTTTGAAATTTACTCTAATGGGTCATTCTCAGATATTGGCCAAAAAACAAAATTTATTGTTTTAATACCTGATGCATGTTTAATGCAAGTAGTTACGTCCATAACAGGGTTCGCATGGTCCTTAAAAGCTTAAAAAGTGGTAGCAAAATTAAAAATCTAAAATGGTTTTTTTGGTTGGTTGGTGTCGTATCCTCCATTGAATCATATCTCATGGTGTGCTTGAATAGTCTTTGCTATCTCTATGGCATTAAATGAATATAAATCTTCTTCTGTAGGGTAGTTTAAGAGGTGAAGGCCTGTCGCGAGTGCAGGGCAGTTAAAAACATGATATGGTGTGAGGTCCACATTAAGACAGTTGACACAGTTTTGATATTTTCTAGTCCCATCTGCAGAGATTTTCATTTTTTGATGTCTTGTTCTTACTCTGATAAGAGTGGTAGCTGTCTTCCTGTCGATGTCAAGATTAGTTATTTGATCGTGGGCCTTGATTTTTAAGGGGGTGAATAGTCTTGACTTTACAAAAGCATTTGCATCTGCAGCGCAGTTGGGATTGTATTTTGATTGAGATCTCTGGCATCTTTAGCCAAGGAATCAGCTATTTCATTGAACTCAAGGTTAACGTGAGCGGGAATCCACTGCAAGAAGCATTTTTTCTGGAGACGTTGGAGTTGCCCAAGTTGTTCTATGTTATTTAAGATTAGGCTTGAGGTATCTTTGCTGAGGGCTTGTAAGGCAGACCTGCAATCGTTGAAGATGGTGATACCACTAATCTGCTCCGAAGGTTCAAGATTGATGAAAGTTTCGATTGCCGTGGAAATGGCTATCAATTCTCCCGTAAAATTAGATGCGAATTTTCCAGCACCAGTTTTATATACCAGTTTTTTATACCAGTATTCAATGCTTTTTTAATAGTTTTATATAGACCAATATGCTTAATATTTCCGAATGATATAATAAGATTTTTTTTTTTAATTCTATGGTGAAAACAAATAAGAAAAAAAATTTAAACTTCTTTGGTAGAATATTAGCAAAACTTTTACATTATCTAGGAAACATATGAACCATGGTCTATAATGAAAAATCTGCTAGCACAGGTCGCTTACGTTTTATAACATCTATAGAATTTTTTCTCATTTCTCAAGGCAATAGCAATAATTATTTGGCGATATGTTGGAGAAACGCGGTAACATTTGTATGCATATTACTTTAAGGCATAGTCGTCGGTAAACTTAAAACCAAATTAAAAATGTCTAAAACATTTAAATAGTTTGTAGTGTTACATTCAAAGTATTTGTATTGTATTAATAAGAACAATATTAAAACTGATATATTATTTCATTATTTTATTTCCAGAAATAATCCAAACGTTTTGTTTGTAACTTATGAGGAATTAAAAGAAGACATTGATGCTGCCATCTTGAAAATGGCGTCTTTCATTGATGATGAGAAATATGCCCAGCCTATAAGAGAGAACCCAGAAATCTTGGAGAACATCAAACAACTCAGTAGTGTGAAAGCAGCCAAAGAATTTATGACGAAACAATCAGAGGAAATAGCAAAAATGAGTGTTGAAGAATTTACAAACTCATCTCTACCCGATACCATAAAAGATTATTTAGTGGTTGAGAATGATTCTCTTACACCTGCGGTCAGTGATGAAAGAAGTGAATCTAACGTAAATTTGTCAGAACGGTTTAAGCTTATCAGCGAGCTTGTTAGAAAAGGTGTCGTTGGCGATTGGAAAAACTATTTTTCAGAAAATCAAAGTCGACGAATCGATGAAAAATTTGAAAAAATGGCTAAGGGCACTGACTTATCTAATTTCTTTACAAAATACATGTGAAAAATGTAATATCATGATTTTATTTATGAAGGAGCAATTTAATATGTAATATGAAATTATTAAAAGTTTAATCATTCTTTACTCGTTACACCTTAAGATATTATGTATATATTTATGGGTATATATATAATATCTTACCACTTTTTTTAATAATGGTACCTTTAGCATCACTGCAAAATGGAGCGTGTACTTTTGTGAACAGAAATGCACTGTAAACCTATTATTTGGGTTCTCAACGTGGGCGGTAAGACCTCTCAGTCAACGATAAAGACTTGAAATCTTGGGTTGGGAATTTCTAGAGAGTCTTTACAAAACTACCGATGAAATTAGTATTGAGTGCAAATTAAAATTCCCATTTTTCTTAACGGTAACTTATTCGTTTTTCACTTCGGAAGACGCTGAAATTGTTGCTCATTTAACGGTACCCGATGGGCATCTGCAAACTTGAGTGACTGAGGCGTGGAACTTTACCGTTGCCACACCGTTACAAATACCTGTTCAAAGGGGGACCACATTCATACATCACACAATAGTTGTTGTAGTTAATTTACGTCACACTAGGGCTGCAGAATGGGCTATTGGAGATGGTCAGGGAACCCTTACGAAAATTTAAGGTATATTTGAGGTATTTTTGAGGTATCGAGGTTGTTTTGAGGTATATTTAAGGTTGCTGAGAAAACAGCAATAAAAATTATACCTTATAAAGTTTGTAATTAAGGTATACGTGGTTGTTTTACATACACTTAAACTCATTTTAAGGTTGTTTAAAATTCACTTCAAATCAACCAGGCTGATGAAGTGATTTTTAAGGTATACCAGGTTGATTTTCTGACACTTGTAACAAAAAAGGTATTTACGAGGTATAAAAAAAATAAACTTATTTTCAACTAAAGAGAGTGAGGTATTTATTGAGGTATAAAAATTTTACCTTATTTCAACTAAAGAGAGTGAGGTATTTATTAAGGTGTATGAAGTCATTTTATTTATACCTAAGCTCATTTTGAGGTTGTTTTAAATTCACTACCTATAAACCAGACTGATGAGGTTGATTTCTAAGGTATACCAGGTTGTTTTTGTTACACTTGTAACACAAAAAGTATTTTTTTGTTATAAAAAAAATACTTATTTTCAACTAAAGAGAGTGAGGTATTTATTGAGGTGTATGAAGTCATTTTATTTGTACCTAAGCTTATTTTGTTTAAATTCACTTCATATCAGCCAGACAGATAAAGTGATTTCTGAGGTAGACCAGGTTGATTTTCTGATACTTATAACAAAAGAGGTATTTATGAGGTATAAAAAAATTAACCTTATTTCAACTAACGAGAGTGAGGTATTTACGAGGGAAAAAAATATACCGATTTTCAAATAAAGAGAGTCAGGTATTTATTGAGGTGTATGAAGTGTATAAAATCAAGCTATCCAACTGTCAAAAAATACACTTTAGGTTCATTTATAGCAACCTGAAGTGTAAAATGGCCAACCATAGATTGATAAATAAATACCTCTACAAGCATAGAAATCTATACTCGAGGTTAAAAAATAATTACCTGAGATCAAACATAATGCACCTCATGTTACTAAAATATTATCTTTCCAGCTGTTAAAAAATACACCTGAGGTAGATTTATAATAACCTGAAGTGTAAAATGACACACTATAGGTTGAAAAATATATACCTCTACAAGCATAAAATTAGATACCTGAGGTTGAAAAATAATTACCTGAGGTCGAACATAATACACTTCACGTTAGTAAAATATTAGCTTTTCAACTGTCAAAAAAAACACCTGAGGTAGATTTATAATAACCTGAATTGTTAAATGAAACACGTTAGGTTGCTGAATAAATACGTCCACAAGTGTAAAAAAATATATTCAGGTTGATTACTATTAACCTAAGGTTGAAAATGAAACATCTTAAAGAAGTAAATATCTTCCTCTCCACAGATGTAAAATTACTCACCTCAGGTTTAAACATCTGGAGGTATATTTGAGGTTAATTTTGAGGTATTTATTTGCACCCTTTTCAACCTAACGACGTATATAAATAACAACCTCCTTTATACCTTTCAAATATACCCTGTTCTAATTAGCAAGAAAACAAAGTAAACAGTTGTAATATTTTGAGTTGCACTACTATTATGTATTTAATTTTTACAAATCAAACAAATACGAAGCAATAAAGTTAATAAATAAATGATTTGTTTGTTGAAGTATAAATAATTTCGTGAAAAAGGGAGAGCTAAATTAATATGATCAGTAAGACGTTTCGTACTGAATAATTTTAATAAAGCAAAATTTTCTTAACACTAATCATGCCAACACTTTACAACACAATACAAAATAGCACAATAGTTGTTCTGTATTGTGTTGTACTGTACTACACTGTACTGTATTGCATGCTAGTTGAATATATTTTGCAACATAAGAGTCTCTTTTCTAAGTGTTCTGCCTGTTGCTATTTTTTTTACTTTCTCGAACTGTACATAGTTTTTAATTTTTAATTTGTGTTAATCAGGAGTGTTCATGTGAGAGTTATATTAATTCATTTTCGAATATTATGCATTTATTTAATACATTTTAAATTAAAAATTTTGGATTTTGTTATTACGTTGTTCAATTTTCTTTTTGAACTCACTAATAATACATTTTTGTCTTAATACATTTTCTACTAAATACATTTTCACCTAGTACATTTTTAACTAAAATTATGTTTATGCCCGATCTTGTCAAACAGCGCCCAGTCAAATCTCTAAGAACTTCAGAACTATTTCTGCTGTTGAAAACTATTATAATTACTATGTTATCTCTTGAAAACTCGAAGGTATTAATTCAGCGGCTGATACTAAAATTCGTTTTCAAATTTTAATTATTCCGTTAGGCAGAAATGTTCGGAAAATGATTTTCTCGTATGACTTCAGTATTAGCCTTTGTTACAAATAAAATTGTAGACTGTTCTGTTTCAACTTATACTGCACATTCAATTATTTTTTACTAGCTCAAAGATCACAAAGCTATCTGAAACCCCGTGTTTGCTTTGTTTATGTTTGTGCTCTTCAAAACGCGTTTCTATAGAGTAAAACAATTTTTAAAAAAATGGTAATTTAAATGAATAAAAATAGTAAACTAAAAATTAAAATCAATAGATAAAATTTCTTTTTCGTGCAAATCCATAAAAATTTTGATATTAAAATAATATTTGATTTTAAAATTATATTATACGATTATATTATAAAATTATATAATAATATTCTTTCGAATTTAAAAATAAATTAATGCCCATAACTTTCAAAATTAAAAACAACATAAATAATAAATAACAGCATTATACAACAATAAATAAATGATAAATAACAACAATTTTTCAAAAACATTAAAGAACATTAGAATATTATCCAATAAAATTTTAGATTACTTTGAATTTTCGATATCCTAGAAATGAACTTTTAAATCGTTACTTTTTTTGTTTAGTACTTGTATTTTTACTTGTACTTTTTACTCGTTATTGTTTAAAATAAGAGCTTTGTACTTTTTACTCGTTACTTTTTTTAAAAATACTTGTACTTTTACTCGTTACTTTTTAAAAGTAACGTTGCCATATTTGGGCTTAAGACAATCAGAATTTTTTATTTTCATTATTTAACTTATTTTCATTGCCTAAAGTAGTTACGCCAAAATGTTATTTTACAATTGCATTATTCCAGATGTAACTGGAAAGTTCTAGTGAAATTTTTTGTCTAAGTCAACTGTCGGGAATTCACGATCTTCGAACATCATTAATCGCAATGGAATAATATTTTTAAGAAACGGCCTTTTCCTTGACCTAAATCAAGTCAAGGTCCTTGTTACGCTGCCATCTAGAAGTGAAAAATCCTGTTATAGCTTCCTTCTTACGTTTTGAGTTTAATATTCAGTTATAATTTTGCCAAAATTACTCCTTTTTTTTTAATATTTTATTTTAACTCTATTTACGTCATTACTTTAGCTCCTTTTTCTGGCAGTAGTCATATGAAAGAGTTCTTTGTGAACTGAAACAGTTGAATAGACTGTATCTTGACTGTCTTTTTTTTCCCATCTGCTTTTCATCGCGAGTTGATATCAAGATAAAAATAATGTATAGAAAAAAAAATCATGCATATCAGTGACTTCATTTAATAAATATAATTTAAATAGATTTTGCCTCATCACTGTTGATGAATAATTCAAAAGCATAAATTGAATGCTACTTTTCTTCATTAAATATAATGTTACACCACAATGAGTAGATAATCAACATGCGATAAGATAATTTTGTTTCCAGACAAAAAAAAGACAAGGCTTTATTTTGTTTCTGTTAAATAAGGGTGTGAAAAAATATTATCTGTAAGATAAATCTCGATTCGCGGGGCATCAAGTTAAAAATTTTTAGACATCATTTGCATTTATTGCTCGTTTGTATTTGTCTGCAACAAATATGTCTGACAATTCCGTGCAGTATGTTGATGGCATTCCGATCCCTGCTATGTTTCCAGCTGATAAATTCCGTTCCGCACTTACATACAAACCAAATTTGAACGATCTTTTCCTCGTGACTTATCCAAAGTGTGGAACCACATGGACAGGATCAATACTTTTACTTCTATTCCAGAATGGAGAGCCATTGAAAGACATGGATTTAGAAAAGGCACCCTTTTTGGAAATGGCAGGTAACTGACTTTTTATTGTATCGCTATCCAAAATACATATGCATATAGACCAACTCTGCATATATGTATATGCTTATGCCAAAATAATATTTTCTAGTGCTAGTCTAAAGTTTCAGTTATTATTATAGTATGTGGGTGATTCTCACGAAACATGACAATTCAGACAAAAAAATTTCTTCAAATTTGAAGTCTTCAAAATAGTCTAAAAATTTTTTTGTATACTTCTTTAGCTGCACTTATTAATATCTTATAGACAGCAATGTAGTTTATTGACATTTGCTCGAGAAAAAAAATAGAAATTCACCAAATCTTGAATGCCAGGAAAATGACATATTACCTTAGAAGTTTAAAAAACAGTCATTTTAAGTTAATAGTAAGTAACTCAACTTAAACCTTTCTGTTAGATGGACCATAAATTGATTAAATTAATTCTTTTTATCCACTGTAGAAAGAAACAAAAAAAATTTTGTTGCTGATATGTACAGAATAAAATTGTGTATAATAATCAATCATTAAATAAATAAATAACTTTGATTACATCCAAGCATATTACAATCATACATAAACTTTGTATTAGGTTAATATTTGTTTTCCCTCTTTATAGTATTAGTAGTTAAAAAGAATTTCTGGTAACACTTCAATGTCCTGGCATTCATAAGCCAGGAAAATGACAGTCAAGATAATGACAAATTCGCTATTTTATTGCATATAATTTTAGCTTAATTTAATATTTTGGCCGAAGACGTTTGTATTCTGCGGAAAACAACAGTATATCTTAAAATAACTCAGATAAATCCATGT